CTTCTTCATGGTTTGAGTGAAAGCTTTGCGGATTGTATAGTCGGAGTAACCATTAGCCCTAAGAGCTTGGTGTACGTGCTTGAGTTCACTGCTTATGTGTTCCTGGTCGGATATGCATTGGGCTCTATGATACAGAGTCTTGATGAGAGAATTCTTCTGTGATGGATGGTGGTGGGAATCCGGTTTCAGATAAGCATCCGTATGGGTAGCTTTCCTGTAGACAGAGTGGCTCATTGAACCATCAGGTCTCTTTTTAATTAGGACATCCAAAAAAGGTATCTTGCCATCTATTTCGACTTCCATGGTAAATCTGATGGCTGGGTGTATGGAATTGATGTGGTCGAAGAATTGGTCTAGAGCAGGCCGGCCATGTGGCCAGATGACAAAAGTGTCATCCACGTACCTCTTCCATAAGGTTGGGCGCAGAGTGGCAGTCTGGATGGCGTCAGTCTCAAATTTCTCCATGAAAATGTTAGCTATAACTGGAGAAAGGGGGGAGCCCATTGGGGTGCCCTCAGTTTGTTTGTAGAAAGTTCCATTCCAAGTGAAGTATGTATTGGTTAAACAGTGTCTCACCAGGGGGGGTACCTCAGTGTTTAGTCCTTGATGAACCAAGTCTTCAATGATTGCAATGGTGTCAGGTACAGGAACCTTGGTGAATAAGGAAACTACATCAAAACTGACAAGCAGGTCGTCTGGGGACAGGGAAATACCCTTGATTGTTGATACCAGGTGAGTAGAATTTTGTACCGCAGAGGTGGTCTTTCCAGTGAAAGGACGCAGGATTTCAGACAAAAAACGAGCTAGTTTGTAGGTGGGGGAGCTGATAGTAGAGACTATGGGACGAAGAGGTGTATCAACTTTATGTATTTTTGGTAAGCCGTATAATCTTGGTGGCCTGGCAGCAGAAGGTTTCAACGAAAACTGTTTAGATTGATCAATTAATGCGGTTGAATCAGAAATTATTTTGTTGGTTTGTGTGACGAGGCTGTTGGTGGGATCTCTTTTTATTTTTGTATAACTACCATCGTCGAGTAATTCTTTAATTTTGTTGTTGTATTCTATTTTATCCATGATAACAGTAGCATTGCCTTTGTCAGCTGAGAGAACTACAATATCATTCCTCTTTTTTAATTTATATAATTCAAAACGCTCATCTTTGCTGAGGTTGCTAGCTGGCATCTTAGCGTTTTTGAGGGTTGCAGCGATTTCAGATCTTGCTACGTCTGCAGCGATGTGACCCAGGCCCCTGAGAGCAACGTCTACTTGGGCAATTATATCATTAACTGGTATGTGTTTAGGTGTGACTGCAAAGTTTAGACCTTTAGCTAAAACGGATTTCAGACCATCGGAAATAGAACTGTTACTGCGATGGTCTGAAATCCGTTTTAGCTAAAGGTCTAAACTTTGCAGTCACACCTAAACACATACCAGTTAATGATATAATTGCCCAAGTAGACGTTGCTCTCAGGGGCCTGGGTCACATCGCTGCAGACGTAGCAAGATCTGAAATCGCTGCAACCCTCAAAAACGCTAAGATGCCAGCTAGCAACCTCAGCAAAGATGAGCGTTTTGAATTATATAAATTAAAAAAGAGGAATGATATTGTAGTTCTCTCAGCTGACAAAGGCAATGCTACTGTTATCATGGATAAAATAGAATACAACAACAAAATTAAAGAATTACTCGACGATGGTAGTTATACAAAAATAAAAAGAGATCCCACCAACAGCCTCGTCACACAAACCAACAAAATAATTTCTGATTCAACCGCATTAATTGATCAATCTAAACAGTTTTCGTTGAAACCTTCTGCTGCCAGGCCACCAAGATTATACGGCTTACCAAAAATACATAAAGTTGATACACCTCTTCGTCCCATAGTCTCTACTATCAGCTCCCCCACCTACAAACTAGCTCGTTTTTTGTCTGAAATCCTGCGTCCTTTCACTGGAAAGACCACCTCTGCGGTACAAAATTCTACTCACCTGGTATCAACAATCAAGGGTATTTCCCTGTCCCCAGACGACCTGCTTGTCAGTTTTGATGTAGTTTCCTTATTCACCAAGGTTCCTGTACCTGACACCATTGCAATCATTGAAGACTTGGTTCATCAAGGACTAAACACTGAGGTACCCCCCCTGGTGAGACACTGTTTAACCAATACATACTTCACTTGGAATGGAACTTTCTACAAACAAACTGAGGGCACCCCAATGGGCTCCCCCCTTTCTCCAGTTATAGCTAACATTTTCATGGAGAAATTTGAGACTGACGCCATCCAGACTGCCACTCTGCGCCCAACCTTATGGAAGAGGTACGTGGATGACACTTTTGTCATCTGGCCACATGGCCGGCCTGCTCTAGACCAATTCTTCGACCACATCAATTCCATACACCCAGCCATCAGATTTACCATGGAAGTCGAAATAGATGGCAAGATACCTTTTTTGGATGTCCTAATTAAAAAGAGACCTGATGGTTCAATGAGCCACTCTGTCTACAGGAAAGCTACCCATACGGATGCTTATCTGAAACCGGATTCCCACCACCATCCATCACAGAAGAATTCTCTCATCAAGACTCTGTATCATAGAGCCCAATGCATATCCGACCAGGAACACATAAGCAGTGAACTCAAGCACGTACACCAAGCTCTTAGGGCTAATGGTTACTCCGACTATACAATCCGCAAAGCTTTCACTCAAACCATGAAGAAGAACCCTCTTGAGGAGCCTTTCAAAACCATCACTTTACCCTACATTGCTGGGATCACAAAAAAGATCTCCAAAATCTTGAATAAACACAAGATCCAGGTCCGTTTCAACACATTACATAAAATCCGTGATCTGGTTCCGTCTGTAAAAGATGTGATTCCGGACATACAATACCCTGGTGTCTACAAACTAAGTTGCCTCTGTGGTAGTAGTTACATTGGAGAAACCAAACGCCATATCTCGGACCGCATTCGTGAACATAAAGCAGACCTTAAACACGGTAGGACCAACACCTCGGCCGTAGCAGATCATTGTTCTAATTCAGTAGGCTCACATGCCATTGACTTTTCCAAGACGGAGGTTCTTTGTAAGCCATCTGGCTTCCATGAGAGATTCGTTCATGAGGCTATCCACATATACAAACACAGAGACAATTTCAACCGAGAAGATGGATTCTATCTTAGCAATCATTGGAAAGATTTGATAAATCATTTCAGTTCTTGATTGATTGTTCACGCTTACAGTGCCTTTCAGACAGCATACATAAAAACAAATTTCGTCTCCCCCCTCCTCTTTTCAAAAAATAGATGGACTAGTCCTGGCAAACTGCCATAGTTGCGCGTGACGCAAACGTTATTTTTATATATAAATAAATAAACATGCCGTTTTCAAAATAAATTTATGCAAACCGACACACCTGATGATGACCGTTTGAGTTATGGTCGAAACGTCGTGAGAATTTTTTATTGTTTTATATATATTTTGTTATTTTGTTGTTTCTCTTCAACGTGACTTTACCGAAAAAACTAAGAATATGAATTACTGCAGTCACGAAAGCTTTAAATCAAAATTTAAACGCTTAAATACATAACCAATTATAACATGAAAACAACAACCGGGGAAGTGGCTGATGCCACCACTTCCAAGAGGATTCATAAAACCAACAAACATTGCACAAGCCATCGCCATGAAACGCTCTCCAGCTGCGTAGCGACGAGCGCTCGAATCCGCGGCGTTAACCCTCGCAGCGACGCTGGCAGCACCGAGCTGTTGCTGTTGGTGCTGCTGGTGCTGCTGGTGCTACTGTTGCTGCTGCTGGTTGTGCTGCTACTGGTGCTGCTGGTGCTGCTGCTATTACTTGTTCTGTGGGTGCCGCTGCTGTTGATGCTGCTGTGTGTCAGCTCGCCGATCGCGAGCGTTCAAGTCGTGTCGCTCGGTGTTGTTCAGCATCGATGTTCCGACATTCCGCTCCACGGGCCCCGGAGCTTCTTCAGCGGGGCGGGGGAGGACTTGGAGAATTCAGCTCCCAGCATGCAGAGCGAAACGTCGGATAATCGTGCTGAACAACGCGCGGTGCAATAACTGCCATTTCCAGGCGAGGCAGAGTTGAAACGACGGGTCCTCCGGTTTCCCCCCCCATATTTAGAATCAACATCACGCGTTTAGTGTATTTGTCTGCTATACATTTCCACGTGATAAACCGCTTTGTTGATCTATCATTTGGGGCCAGGTGGCTTCTGAAAAAGAGCTACATATCTCAGTGGGCCTTACCTGGTAAAATAAACATAGTTTAGTTTAGTCTCTGCCTGCTGTTGTGTTCCAGATATTGTCAACTGCTGCCTAACAGCTGTTGTGTTCCAGCTATTTTACATCAGCTTTTGTTCACCGACTGTTGTGTTTCAACTGCCATGACAAGTGTTGTCACAGCTCTTCTGCCAGGGGTTGCCTGCCTTTGTAAGCCGTTGTGTATCGGCTGCTGTCAAACTTTCGTGTCCATCTGTTCTGCCAGCTGTAGTGTGCCAGCTGTAGCGTGCCATCTGTTGTCTGCCAGCTGTTGTGTGCCAGCTGTTTGCTAGCTGTAGTGTGCCAGCTGCTGTGTGCCAGCTGTAGTGTGCCAGCTGTTGTGTGTCAGCTGTTGTGCATCAGTTGCTGTGTGACAGCTGTTGTCTGCCAGCTGTTGTGTGTCAGCTGTTTGCCAGCTGCTGTGTGCCAGCTGTAGTGTGCCAGCTATTGTGTGCCAGCTGTTGTGCATCAGTTGCTGTGTGACAGCTGTTGTCTGCCAGCTGTTCTGTGTCAGCTGTTTGCCAGCTGTTGTGTGCCAGATATTGTGTGCCAGCTGTTGTGCATCAGTTGCTGTGTGCCATCTGTTGTCTGCCAGCTGTTGTGTGCCAGCTGTTTGCTAGCTGGAGTGTGCCAGCTGCTGTGTGCCATCTGCTGTGTGCCAGCTGTAGTGTGCCAGCTGTTGTGTGCCAGCTGTTGTGCATCAGCTGTTGCATTTCTTACCTGAGCCGAGGTGGAAGCGGATTGGCCGGGTGGAGGGGCCCAAGAGGTCACCCTGGCACACAGCCTGCACCCTCACCAGGTAGGTGACGCCAGCCGACACGTTCTGCCACAACAGGCTCTGCGCCACGCACCACACAGCCGGCACAGAAGTAGTCAGCAGCAGCGTCTCGTAAGCACTCACGCACGCTGCCCACGGCGCGAACGGCAGAGCCATTCCAAACCGCAAAACCACCGTCACTGGAACTCTGATGACACTTCATGTGGAGAGGAAGAATATCTCAATCTCCCGGAAGACGCGAGGACTCCGGTACACACGTGGCTGGAGCATAATTCTTATGACTAAGCAACGACAAAAAACTGAGCTTTTAACGTCCCAGCAAGAATCCCAGATTCCCAGGATGGCAGCTGCCTCTTTACCAAGAGGACGGACCCTGGGGACACCAGAAAAGTGAAGCGGGGACACGTGGAGCGATGTGTGGAGCGACACACGGAGTGATGGAAGGAGCGATGTGTGGAGCGACACACGGAGTGATGGAAGGAGCGATGTGTGGAGCGACACACGGAGTGATGGAAGGAGCGATGAGTGGAGCGACACACGGAGTGATGGAAGGAGCGATGTGTGGAGCGACACACGGAGTGATGGAAGGAGCGATGTGTGGAGCGACACAAGGAGTGATGGAAGGAGCGATGTGTGGAGCGACACACGGAGTGACGCGTGGAGCGATGTGTGGAGCGACACACGGAGTGATGGAAGGAGCGATGTGTGGAGCGACACACGGAGTGATGGAAGGAGCGATGTGTGGAGCGACACACGGAGTGATGGAAGGAGCGATGTGTGGAGCGACACACGGAGTGATGGAAGGAGCGATGAGTGGAGCGACACACGGGGTGATGGAAGGAGCGATGTGTGGAGCGACACACGGAGTGAGGGAAGGAGCGATGTGTGGAGCGACACACGGAGTGATGGAAGGAGCGATGAGTGGAGCGACACACGGAGTGACACGTGGAGCGATGTGGGGAGCGACACACGGAGTGACGCGTGGAGCGATGTGTGGAGCGACACACGGAGTGATGGAAGGAGCGATGAGTGGAGCGACACACGGAGTGATGGAAGGAGCGATGTGTGGAGCGACACACGGAGTGATGGAAGGAGCGATGTGTGGAGCGACACACGGAGTGACGCGTGGAGCGATGTGTGGAGCGACACACGGAGTGATGGAAGGAGCGATGTGTGGAGCGACACACGGAGTGATGGAAAGAGCGATGAGTGGAGCGACACACGGAGTGATGGAAGGAGCGATGTGTGGAGCGACACACGGAGTGATGGAAGGAGCGATGTGTGGAGCGACACACGGAGTGATGGAAGGAGCGATGAGTGGAGCGACACACGGAGTGACGCGTGGAGCGATGTGTGGAGTGACACACGGAGTGATGGAAGGAGCGATGAGTGGAGCGACACACGGAGTGACACGTGGAGCGATGTGGGGAGCGACACACGGAGTGATGGAAGGAGCGATGTGTGGAGCGACACACGGAGTGATGGAAGGAACGATGTGTGGAGCGACACACGGAGTGACACGTGGAGCGATGTGTGGAGCGACACAAGGAGCGATGTGTGGAGTCACGCATGGAGTGATGCGTGGAGTGACGTGTGGAGCGATGTGTGGAGGGACGCCCAGAGCAAGGCCAGGACCCCGAGCGGCCGATGGAGGCCGTGAGGTGCCACGCTCTGCCGTGGCCTCGCCGGGCGACTCCTCACGCGTGCCCGGCGCACTCAGCGCCGCCGCTCTCCCCCTCCATCACAGCGCAACAGCTTCCCTGCGTGGGGTCCGCCCCTGTTGGTTTAGTGCTGCATAATGTCACCCACGTTTTTATTTATTTACGCGGATTTATGACGTGCCGCTGGCACTGGCAGTGCACGCGTGCTGCGTGAGTGGTGGCGTAGCGGTCAGCGCGCTGAGCTACGAACCCGGCGACCCGAGTTCGATTCCCGCTCATGGCCAACACTGGTGACGATGATCTGAACCTGCCCTGGGCCTCCTCCCCAACATCAACTCAGTCTCAAATGAGTACCTGATGCGGTGTGTAAACATCTTTCCCGGGGAGACAAAGGCGGTCGGGCGTGGTGCTGGCCACCCACCCCCTCGTGTGCCGTGCCAGCCTTCATTCAGTGCTCGCTAGCAGCACTTGTTCCAACAGTCTGTTAAGGCTATACGGGGAATCTTTGTCCATATTGCGTGTCAGCGTACGTGTGTGTTTGTGTCCCTTTAGGGATTTAGAGCGACCGTGATCGTTGCTGTCATCGTAAGGGGTCCATCGTCGCCACGGTTTGGCACACAGCGTCCCGTCCAGGCGAGAAGTGTCGCACCGGGAGGCTCGTTCCCATTCAGGAGACGTGTCGGGCCCGCGTATTTTTGTTTCGCTATTTTAAGCCACCCTTAGAATAAAAACGTTTTTTCAACCCAAATTTCGTTGTATCGCGTGCAAAGTGCCCTGGGGACAACCTGGCGTGAAGGGCGTTCTATCAAACACGCAAACTCTAATGACTGCCCCTTCAAGTCATTCGCGTTGCGCTACGTTTACTGGCGGGACGGAGAGCTGTAGTGGAGCGACGCGCGAGGGTTCGGGGCGCAGGGTGAGGCGGCCACCTCCCCTGCTGGCGGTGGGAAAACAAACAGAAGGCAAAAACCAAATAACTCTTGAGAGAGATATTAAATATTTACACCTAATTCACTTTCTACTGGTTGGGTGTGGTGGTGGTGGTGGTGGTGGGGGGGGTTTGCCAGCAAGTGCTCCAAGGCACTAAATTAAGTTTTTCTTCCCCACTCCGTTTTTATTTCCTTCGCAAACACGCCGAAGAGAGAGAGAGAGAGAGAAATATAAACCTTAACCCAGAGTAACGAAATAAAATGGCTGATCTCATGGCTTCCGCTCTGCCGTGAATCAAATTTACAAAATTTGCTGTCCGAACGAATGTGCGGGTCGAGTGAAATATTGGAAGAGAACTCTCGGGGCCAGGACGGCCGCTGAGGCTCGGATCGCGCGCTACGAACGCCCCCCCCCCACCCGTGCACCCCCACCACCCAAGACAAAGATCCCCCGTATAGCCTTAACAGACTGTTGGGCCAAGTGCTGCTAGCGAGGAGCACCTGTGAATGTTGGCACGGCACACGAGGGGGCGGTTGGCCAGCACCACACCCGACCCCTTTGTCTCCCCACTGATGATGATTACACACCGCACCAGGTACTCATGTGAGGTCGAGTCGACCTAAGGGGACCGGTTCAGGTAATCGTCACCGGTTACCTGAACCGGCCGTGAGCAGGAATCGAACTCGGTTCGCCGGGGTTGATAGCGCAGCGCGCCAACCGCAATGCCGCCTCTCCCCACACAGAAACCTCCCCACACCGTGTCAGCCACCAGCTTCGTTCCCTAACACCCACCAACACCCCCCCCACCCCCCACCGCCGCCCCCCCAGATTCTCACGCGATAACAGGTCTGACAGCCGCGGCCTCATTTCTGATGACCGTACAAAAAGCACGGACAGCGGCACGGAGGAGGAACGCCGCGGACACGGCGGCTGTGAACAACGCGGCGCAAATCGAATTATGCGGCGTCAGAGTATCGCGGCGGCTCCGCTCGCAAAGTTAACTCGAGGACGTTATTCAACCGCATGAACCCGGCCCGCAATTGTCATGACGGCGAAGCTCGCTAATCTGACAGGTTTGCCTGCTTGCATTTTAAAGCTGGTTTAATTTAATCCACTACGGGCACCGCATTATTGTATTCAACAGTGCTGCTGCTCCGCCGCCTCCACACCAACACCACCTCCTCCCACCCTCTCCTCGCCCGTCGCTCCATCAGTCAAGTGGCAGGAGGTCATAACGCAAATTCCACGGTGCTTAAACCAGCTCCCCAAAAAAATTCAGGAAACGAAACGTTACCAATGCCAGCCGTTCTCCATCTCTGCGCCACGTCGCAGCACGGCGAGAGGAGTTTCAACCACACCGCTGGTCAGCGCGAGTTGGTGAAGGGGGTGGAAGGGTAGGACCGGTTCTGAACTCACTGGGCCACTGACGTTAGGCCGTGGACGGAAAGCGGATGCGGGTCGCCGGGTTCACAGCGCAGTGCGCTAACCGCTGCCCCACCGCTTCCCCCTGCCCCTCCCCACCCCCCGGCCTGAAATATTCCGCAACCGTGTAAAAAAGAAATTTGTGCGTAAATCCCATGAACACAAGAATCATTAAAAATGTCACAAAGATCCAATAAAGCACGGGTAACGCGGTGCTGTGTGCGGGGGGCGGAGGGGGAGGAGGGGGTGGGGGGTGGGGGGGGGGGGTGAGGAGGGATGTAAGGGGGTGTGGGGGGGGGCTGCCCCGAGTCTTAAACCGTCCCTGACGTCTCCCCGTCCGCGTTCGCACGCTGTCTCTCCGCGCTGAAGCCTGCCTTTCAAAGCAATTAGGTTATTTTATTGCAATTGCAGGCAATAAATAAATAAAAATAATGGGAAGTTATTATCGTCAAGATGTCACAAAGGCACAGCTGTCAGCCCGGGTTTGAAATAAAAAAATATATTTTTTAAAAACATTTGCGATTAAATTGAACCCGCACAACTCGTCTGTTTCCCATCGAGCGCGGGGTTGGCCGGCGTTCTGATGCCTCTCGTGACGCGTGCGGCTGCGTGTGGTGTAGCCCAGGTCTCCGCTTAAGCGGGGAAGTGAGGGGGGTGAGAGTTGTAACCTTATTAAACCATTTTTTTAAGCTGACGTCGCTGGCGGCTATTGCCCGGTGATCAAGTCAACCCCGTTGACAACGCTCGGCGTTCCGCACGGTGGGACAGCGCCGTGGCGGGTAGAGGAGTCCCGTGGTGGGTGGGACGTTGATGGCTGTGGTCGGCATGCACCCTGCTTGAATCAGAATCGTAGTCAGAAGTTGTATTCCGCACCGAGTAAAGTCCGTAGAGCTAAGATTCTCTTTCTTTGTCAAGGGCGACCTGGCCGGCAGACGACGTCGCGGCGTTGAGCGTGACGCCGGCGCAGGGGAGGGGCATTCCGCTGTCTTGCGGATGCCGACCAACGAGATTCGCTCACGTCCACCGCTGCTGTGAAGCGGACGCGGC